CCATAGAGCATCCTAAGCTTTCAATAATATGCATGTTCCAAACAAGGATCTCTACTAAGTTCAGTCAGATTTATTCCAAGGAAGCAGGTGTAAGAATGAAATGTTTCTGGATTGTTTTGTGCTTGCCAGAGCCACTTTAAATCAATAAATCAAAATAAAAGGTGTACAATAGACTATTTTCAAGCAAGTGCCTGTTATAGAATATTAAACCTTCTTTTAAAAGTTAGAAGATTAACCATCCACATTATACTTCTTGTCCTAATTTTAAAAAGCTGACATTTAAAATAAGTTAAGACTTAATATCTTGCTTTCCTTATGTTGATGTGACTCAACCAAGCTGTTAATTAATATAGTAAAAAACAGTAAAATGCTATAGTCATGCCTAACACTTGATCTTTGATGCTTTACAAAATAGATACTGTACATCTTGACTAAATATTCATCAAGTATAGTTGGCAAATTTATTGTCAACCACATATTCATTATTAATTAACTGCAGGGTACTTTCAGGACATTACTTTTTATTCTTTTCTTTCTAGGCAGACTAATTGCAGTTTATGAAGCAACATAAATAAATGTGATCTTAGACTCATAAGATATTCCAAATTCAGCAGTCACTTCAAATTACAGCTGAGTCAAAAATGATTGCAAACTATGAATGAAAGACATTTTTGCTCCATTTTTTTTGGAATGGGGATAACCTAAAATTGTTGGGAAGTTCCCTTGATAAGTGGTGGAAGTTGCAGCAAAAACTTTTGAGGGCAGCAGGGATGCGTATTATTGTTTTACTTTCTGTTCGATTTCTTTTACCTCTTTTTCTTTTCTTTGAAGAATGTCTCTAGACAGACCCTGTATCTTAACAAAGAGTCATTCAAACAGAGGCATTGCAAAAGGGGAACTGCATTTTCTCAATTTGTGGTAGAATTCCCAATACCTCAAGAGGAAAAAGAGCAATTAGTTGAAAAAAGGACCCTCCCAAAGAAAAGAAACCCTGGTATTATGGCTTACATTGTAAGCCTCCCAGGACAATTGAAAGATTTTCTCTATCTACCCAAAATGCATTGTGTTTTCTGCCCTGCCTTTCTCCTAGCAGCTCCTGTTTTGCTTAGCTCAACTTAAAGTTAATAATCTTCCTTGGTCTACTGGATTTTATCACTGGACTAATTTATGTGAACTTAAACAATACTTAATATTGTTAACCACTTTATCAAATCACACTGTAATGCAATGACATTTATTCATTTAAAGCAGAGCATGTATATGGAGCAAACAGCTTGAATTGCAAACCATGGGTAGCTTTCTACCTTGTATTTTCTAATTTCCCTCTAAATGTCAAGGGACTTTAACCCTTTCCCTGCACATAATATGCCAATCCCAAAATAGACTGCTCCATTCCCCCAACACCTGTAATATATATTACTCAAGAGTGATCCATTTGCTTTAATTGGCCATGTATATTACTGGCATGAGGAACCTGATTTAGATTTGGAGCATGCTATGTGGCAATAAATCTTCAGAAAGCAGTCGGTTTCCACTACATGTGGAGGGCAGGAATATATAGGAACCTTGGCTTTGAAACCAAACTAGACAAATCTAACACTGTGCCAAATCTGTACTGTTCTAGTCTGTGTTGCAGGCACTTACAGAATGGTGGTTTCAGTCTGCAGTTGGACAGTGTATAATGGTGCAAGAAGAAAGGAGTTCTGTAGATTCTTTTGAACTTCATTTCCCAGCAGTCTTGGCTGTTGGCCATACTGGGTGAGGTTTCTGGAAGTTGAAGTCATCTGGAACTCTACTTTCTGTCACTTCCCGTCTAAAGGAATCTGGGTATCACAGATGCCACCTTTAGAGGACCACTCCATGTTTTCCTTGCAGTTCTAGCCTATTACAATCTGGAATAATTGTGATCCAGGCTTTATGTAGGCCTCAAATACACAGTTCTTGTTCTCTCTGGCCCTTCCTGCATACAAGCTGGAACTGCCTAGCAGCCATGAATCATCCTAGTAGGTTACAATTTGATAATAAAGTTTTTGTATTACAACCCTGCTCTGCTTAGACCACTTTTCTGCATTTGCCTGCATCCATGAAGAATCTTTCTGACTATAACTGGTTTATATTTTACAGCTCTTTTTCTACATGTCCAAAGCTCTTCAGATACATGGTTTCAGTTATCTTTACAAAATGAGGGAGACTGTTTACAAGATGGGTTTTTCTTGTTGCAGAAGCCCCACTTCAAGTTAACACAAAGAGAAAAATTGCAGGAAACACTTTCTGTGCATATAGAAAACCACAAGGTTAGGGAGACCACTAGGCTAGGCTAGAATCCTCAGTGAGGGGATTTTATTTTATGTGTATGGACAATCACTTGGTCACGCAAGCAGTGATGTGCTGCCTAAAGAGTTAAACAGGCCACATGACTTACCATCTCTTCTCTTGTTTGTAAGAACTGTGCCACAGCACCATCCTGAAGATTGAGATGAGCCAACAGGGGTGCAAATGGAAAGTAGAATTTTTCAGGAGTTGAAGATGCTTCAAACTCTGATTAGAGAATGACAAACTGTTTCTTTCAAAACAACATTCTTTCACATGAATGCTAAGTGAAATAGGAATCTGTACTTAGCTGATATGACCATGCCTCTCAAGGTTAATTTTGGCCTAGGAAAGCAGGTTATCACTGTAAATCTTTTCATTCATGTATCCTTTTCAAAATAAAGCACACAGTTCTCTTAGCTGCTATGACTGCAAGCATATTCCAGTACTTAAAAGATGTATAAAATAAGCAGAACTAGATAGTAAACCCCCAAAGTGTTGCCCTTGTGACTGCAGGCAAAGATGTATGAACAATCTGATGGGTGGTTTGGCTACCCAGATTCGAGTTCATCATCCTTGTGCTGGTGCCAACTCACTGTGGTATGGGTTGAGCCTGCTCATGGTTTTATTTATTTATTTATTTATTTATTTATTTATTTATTTATTTATTTAGGAACTTTATAGGCCATCCATTACTGTCATCTCTGGATGGCTTACAATATATTATAAATCCTAAACAAAATTAATTGGCTACACCACGACTTTAGGTTTCTAAGATGGACAAACAACCATCTGTGCATTTTATCTGCTAATGAAGTGTGTGTCAATCATCACCCCAAAAGGGCCTTGGCATATTCACAACCATAGTCATTTTAGAAAGAGAGAGAGAGAGAGAGAGAAAGCTTCCACTCGGGATCATTCAGAAATGTTAAAGTGTGGAATATACATACTATAAATCCCCGTGTTTAATCTGAGCTATTCCATTTAAAGGAACAGCTTGCTATACATGAATAAAACCTTCTGAATTAATAATTCTATTAACTGTTCATTCCAAAGCATGTTTAAATAGTTGTATTTAAAGTCTCATAAGGCTCTCTCTGGTTTTTCATTTCATTACTTGGCATCTCCAGCTGGAAATGCAGCACTTCTGTATGAGAAGAAATGTTCCTTTTCAGTTAGCTTATTTTATTGAGATGAAGAGCACATATGCTTTCCACTAAATTTCATGGGCCTCCTAGATACGTACTCAGGGATAGGCGACTGGAAGCTCAAGGGCCACATGCTCCTTTTGACTTAATCTCAAAGCTGCCTCTGTATGTGATCAGTTCAACCTTCTGGCAAAGAGTGATTTGTGCCTTTGCTGGACAAGAAGGAAAAGGGAGAGTGTGAAAGGCAGAGAAAAAGGGGATCCTCCCTCCCGCCTTTTGGCTCTGGCCCTGCCACAGCTGGCTGACTGACATCACAACCAACATGCAGCCGATATGACTCACTTGGGAATACAAGGGTTGCCCATTTCTGATGTAGCTAAATAAAGGACATGCAACTGGTTTGCATAGATGGATTTGCTTTGTTAGTAGAGCATCAGGATGATTGTTTTTCAAGTACTTACCACTCTAAGCTGCTCTTGTCAATTTCTTTTTCATAACTAGAAATCTAAAACTGCAAAAACATCTGTGAAAATCAAGGAAAAACTGTTGATGTTTCCTTGGAAAGCAAATCAAGTTGCACCATGTTTGAAACTTTTTAAATCTAAAAACAAGAATAACATTTCTGTATATCAAACACGGTTAAAAAATAACCTTGAAATATCCAACAATGCCTGTTCTTGGTGATGAGAGATAGTGTTGTGGAAAGAAACTGTACTCAGTGTTTTGCTAAACTGTGTTGTTATACATTTACTGTCTATAGATAAAATGAAGCTCTTTTGTATTCTATTATGTCAAGTACCAAGCAAAGTGAGCATGAATGAAATGTCAAAAATGCAAGGCGCTATTAAAGACAAGATAGATTGCTACAGAAAATGCCCATAAAGATTTTATCTCATGCAGTTCTTTTAAAAAAAGGAGACGGGGGCTGACGAAACAACCGTGAGAACAGATTAATAACAGTAAAAGTTCACTTCAGGAAAGACAGCTGGCTATGGGAAAAGATTGATTTGAAAACTAAAAATGAAAATCAAGATTATAAATGATAGCAGAAAATAAAGTGAATAGGTGTCCAAACATGCATTGGGAACCAGATCTTGCATGTTAAACCTTTTCAGAGGTTTTGCAAGGGCAGAGAGGTAAATTTAAAATAAAAATCTATTGGTCAGATCAAATATCAGTGTCGCTGCATTGTACATAGCACTGTTGTTGCTCCTTTGATGAGACTAGTATTTGGCACATAGTGTTTGGCTGTAAAGAGTATAGCAGTTCCTATTTTTGTGAACTGGGGGCTGGTATAAATTCCAGTAAGAAATCAAGAATGGCTTGTTTATGTATGCTGGATCATACTCATTATATTGCACAATTCAAGGTGTAACCAGAACAAAGGAGTCAACATTTTCTTTTTAATAGGAAAATGAACAAAAACTCTTCTTTGGTGGTAATCAGGTTATGAGAAAAATAGATAAGGCAGCATACATTTAATATGCATTCACCTAATATTATGTTTTCACCTAAATTTATTTTTTCTGCCATTTTTTAAAGCACAGAACTGTTAAACTTCATAGACAACCAGTTGGTGGCTTGGGCTTAAGTATAAAGGTATGCCTGACTTTCTATTTATCTTTGTGGTGTGCAATTCATGAATTAAGATGATGGGCAGATCAGCTAAGATTTTTATTCTTTTTACGCATCTTTTTCAGGGTGGTGCTGAGCACAAAGTGCCTGTCGTTATATCAAAAATATTTAAAGACCAAGCAGGTAAACCAAATACTTACTTGTATATAAGGTTTTGTGAATGGAATGTACTCTTTAAGTATAGATGTACAGGTGCAAGTCAGGGGTGTACAAACAAAAAGTTATGTTCTTTCATTTAGCTTCATTTCAGAAGTTGCATTTGTTTAATTCTCATTGCTTTTAATTTATTCAGTTTTTCATTATTTGTTTAGTTCATTTTCATTGTCAGTGGGTGATCAAAAATATTTTACTTTAAGTTTTTGTTTTCCTTCCATATTTTTAGGCATTCTACGAGGGTTCTTGAAAAAGTGCCTGCACTTTGTAAAACCCTATTTATTAAGAACTTCAAAAAGAAATTACATCACTTTTCTACATAGTCACCTTCTTTTGCAATACATTTTCCCAGCGTCGTACCAACTTTTCAATGCCATCAGCAAAAATATATAAAATATATTTATAGAATATAAAAGTGCAGAAGCTTTTTGAAGGTCCCTTGTACTATTACTTAAGGGCATGAAATAGGCCAAATTTCAAACAGACTGGGCAAAGAATCTTAATAGTATAGGCAGTTGAAGAAGGTCAGTGATCATGTGCCATTGATTCAGTGGCAGATACAACTGTATTTCTCCTGCTTAATTTCTGGTAAATGTCTCAGGCATAGTACAAGACCCCCAGCATTTTTAAACTCTTTTTCAAACTGACTATTTCTGTGGATCAAATTTACTGCAAATCATCAAACTCGTATTGTCAGATAATATCAGAATACTCTGAAAATTCAATAGGAATGTTTTGCCTATCTTGGTATGCTGCATGAGCTTCAAATTGTGTTTTATCATGGCAAGATAGAGGCTTGCACATATCTGCATATTAAAAAGAAAGAAGTTATATCCAAGGTTAATACATTACTACTGAATCTGAGAATCCCACTGAGTAAAGGTGAATTGTCTGTTCATGGATTCTGGGATGGGGTGGATAACTTTCAGGCATTCGTCCCTCCATCATGTTTTTTGCAACCTTATCTGCCCTGCTGATTAGCAATTAGCAGAAGAGCAATTTTGCTTGCACCTTGTTTGTGCGCTTTAATCATTTGCAGATTTGGGAACATACTCTCCGTGTGCCTGTTTTCCTTGCAAAATTGGTAGTGAGGGTGGAAGCGGCTTCCAGTGGGTGGCTTCCAGTGGTGCAGTGCAGACTCTGACACCTACATTCACATTTGCACACCCCAGGATAAAATCTTTACTTTTTTCCAGCTTTCAGTCAGGTTGAATTGCTTAGAGATGAAGATGTCAAGGTTCTAAAATGGCAGATTTCTTCTTTACTCATAACTTGAATATAGCATTCAGGACTGTTCCCAAGAATGACTGTGAGAGCTAGTGTGAGGGCTCCCACGTATGTTGAGATACAGGCAAGGGCGACAGCTTGGCTTCTCATGGGTCTAAATATTTTTATCCTTCTCCTTTCTGACTACAATCAGGCAGTGTGTCTAATTATACTTTCCTCCCTTCCCACTCTCAGTTTGTCCCTGGTGTCTTTCCTCTTGTCTAAGAGTTACATTGGCTCATTTTGTGCTAGATTTTCCTGAAGGACAGTCTTGCTGGATCCCCCGTCTTCTTGTCTCTTCAAAGAAGCAACATCAACCTCACTTTGAGCCTGTCTAGACTGGCTTGGATAGTCCTCCCCTCCCTATCTTTTTCCACAATTAACATGGTACGCAGATCGTATCATTGTAAAGCAGATTGTTGTTGGATTTTGGCCAGCAGGACTAGCCCTTCTAGGAGAGCATGGAGGTGGTGAAAGTAAAAGCTGACTGGCAATACAGAATACAGTTCTGAGGATTTCAGGGACATCCTTGGAGCCAATTATATCACCACACATTTTCCCTTGTAACTATGCAGAAGGCAGACAAATCAACTTTTTCAAGGTGCAACCCTTACACAATTACATGGCAGCAAGTTCCACTGAACACAGTGAAACTACATGCATAAACATGTATAGGATTGCACTGTCACTCAGTGAGATGCTCCATGTAGTTCTGGGAAATAACATATGCATAAGTGAAACACTTCCTTCAGTAAGTCAAGACAAAAACAATTCCATTGGGAAGAAGGCTGTGTTCAAATGAAAAAGAAAAGTTTCAACAAGAGAGGTAGCTGTGTTTCTAGTGTGTGGTTTCATTGATTTCATAGTCATTGTTGCTTTGGAACTTAAACCAGAATGTGTTTCTCTCTACTTTGAGTGAATATAAAATTTGCATCATTTACTCAGGTCTCTTACAAACAACTATCTCACTTTTTAGAAATATTATTACAATGGATATAAAACTGTACAACATTCAATAATTTGATTAGTAGCATTTTCACATTTTGAAACTAGAGAACTTAACATGTTTGTGAATTTGCAGCTTTGGCAAACTGTCCTGAAATCAGAAACAGGTTTCTAAGATGAATTTTAGGAACTCAAAAGATTATGGAAGGTAAAAAGAGAGACAGAAAGAGAGGGAGAGAAATGGCTTGTTACATGCATTTTTAAAATTTAAGTCAATGCCAGTTGTGACATTTTAAACATCAAGTGAAAAGAGTAAGGCAGAATAGTAGCAAAAGTTGGCAATTTCGGCAAGCCACCTGCCCCTTCTGAATTAAGGGAAGCTTAGAAGTAAGAAAATATTCCAATACAATGTGCCAAATGTTTAAATCGAAGAGGTAGTATCATTTGGCAGTTTCTGTACACACCAGTATATTTTCCAACCTTTGATTCTGGATTCCCATTCTTTGTACTTTATTTTCTTCATATTGTCTGGGATTTTTTAAATTGAATACCTCATTCTTAATAAGAAAGTTGGAAGTTACGAAAGCTGAACTGTCAAACAAACAAGCCTCTATTTCTCAGTATTGCAGCTTTTTAACCATTCAAATCCATTTTCAGTTTCTAGCTATGAATAAATTCTGTGATTGTTAAAGCAGCTTTGCTGAACGGTTCTTACTGGGCCTAAGCAGCAAAAATCCAGCATGGAGGTGAAGCCTGGCAACAGCCTTTGAAATGTCGGAACCTGTGTGGGACTCTATTCCCAGTGTGCTACAATAGCTGGACCTCTGTAGGGAACTTTACAATGGGTGGTAGAGATCTTTGGTCAGCTGTACTCTTTTCCTCCATGGAGTAGGTGTATATGTGCACATATCTTTTTGAAGCCTGTAGCTGTTTGTTTCACTTTCCTTCCTGGAAGCCTGGACGGGGCCTCTTCTCTATTCTCTTTGTATAGGCCTTGAAACCTCACTGGGTGTGTGATTCTTCAGAAGGTGGCCTCTATCCATCTAGATCTCAGTAAAGAATAGTGTTGTGAAAGCAACAGTAAGAAGCATATTACCTGGAGAGCAAGGCCTAATGCTAGACTGTGGGTGGAGTAGGGAAGTGATGCCCGCATTAGCCACACCCAAGGGCCTCCCCCAAGAAACACTCTCCCTTATTTCATGATTGTCATCTGGTTTGGTCTAGTTTGAAGTTGTTACCCAGACCACATTCCGAACAGCCTAAAAGGAGAAAGCATTCATCACTGTTTCTCAGGTTCCCCATATATTTTATGTTTCTTTTAATACAGTATCCATAGAGATACTGTAATGCTTTAAAGCATGGCATAAAAATAGCTTCCGAAAAAAAATTAATGTGCTTCATTCTCTCAGTAAATGAGCTAGATGGGAAAGAGAAATGAAGGCTTACAAGCTGACAGTGAACTATAATAATGAAGCCATGGAAATGATAGTTTAAACAGGTGTGTTTAAGGGAAAAGTTGTTTTTAGACAAAGTGAAGGTGCCCGCCTAGCCTACAAAACCAATTCTGTAAAGGAAGGAATGGCAGTAATAACATGTTGAAGGCAATCTCCTCTCCCTAATTCTAAGTAGACTGAAATTACATCCTCCACCCGCTCCCCCCCCCCCCGTGTGTGTGTAAAATAGGCCAGGCTAAAGAAAATTTTCAGTCCGTGCAGTCACACAGAACAGCATCCAGCGATTCCATTCCACAAGCTTAAATAGTGCTAGCAGAGCTCTATGAAATGTTTCTTTTGCCCAAGGGGTTATACTTGCAGAACTGCTGTAACTGGTTGCACAGCAGATTACACAAATGTAATAAGCAACTGTTTGCCCAATGGTTTGCAAAAGTGTAATGCACTACTTTGTACAATTGGTTGTGCAAGTTCAGTTGTGCAAATAGTTGGATTCTCTTTTCTTTTTTTGGTGCATAGTTTGTAATCTAGTGTCTGCTAGCATACTATCATTTCCTCTAGTGCAACATTCTCTACACTAGGGGAAGGATGCAGTTGGATACCGATATTTTTGTAATGATACCCCCCTGCCACTTTTTCATTTCTGAAGAAGCTGTAGAGCCCTAATCCCCCCTTTCTCTGCTTTTTCTGCATGTGGAGTCAGACAAATGCAATATAGAATTGCTTCTGCTGAAAAGTGGTAAAGTTGGCTCACCAAAGCATTTCAAAGGCAATGACAAGGGGGTGGGGCAGTGGGAAAACCCTGTATATGATGGGAATTAGTTGATTGTTGGCTGTTTAGCAGGGCAATTTCTACTGAATGCCAGAATTGATAAAGGTTTAATCTGAAAAAATGGTCAGGCCCATAAAACACTTGTGATGATTTATTACTTACTCCACTGGTCCTGGAAGCACTTATGGTTTCTGTTTAATCCAGAAATCACAGTAGGGTTCAGAGATCAGGGTAAGACCATGAATGATGATGGCTAAGCACGGTGTTTAATGTGTGTGTGGTGCTGGTGCTGGGATAACTTTTTTGAGTGGCCATTCTATTCATTGATTTCTTCAGGATGTGATCCTGATCACCTTACACATGGGCAGAAAGGAGTCTTCCATGTGTAAGCAAGTCCCAGGGTAAAAGGCATGTGCTGCCCATAATCCTATTTAGCCCCCAAGCAAATTTCTAGGGCCCCTGAGTGTACAAACGTACACTTTGGAATCTCACCTGCGGCTCAGGGCTATAATCTTACAGCCACTTACCTAAGAGTA